TTTGCCTTAAAACCTCTTTATTTTGCAGCTCTAATAGATACACACTGTACATAGTAGTATAAAAAAAAAAAAAAAAAAAAAAAAAAAAAAGGCAAAAAGAAAAAAAAAAAAGGAAGGAAAGAATCCAGCTATAAAATAAAAACTGTAATTTTAAATTCTGTGAATAACCATCAGCTGCTTAGGAGCCAGGATTAAATGACTTTGCCTTTTAGCAAGAAAGCAAAGGATTTTTTTTCTTCTCTCCAGTTTATAAAACATGTGCATTTTACAATTGCAGTATCAAATATTTATAATCGGATGAAATATGAATGTTTCTATTTACAACTGTGTTCTCAACATTGTGAACATTCTCGCTGCATTTTGTGTGTTTCGATTCTCGAGGACTGCATTAAATAATAATAATTAAAAAAAAAAAAAAGACACTTTATTACGAAATCAAACCCGTGTCACTCAGGCGTTACAATGGAGCTATTCGGGAATATATATCCCTAAATGTTCATACAGCCTTCAGACTGCACTTCTGAGCGTTGGAGCTGCAATCAGGAGTATTTCGTAGTTTCAGTTCTTTCCAGGGTTATGTTGTAGGGGTAAAATCCGTGGCGGTTTTCGAGAGAGGTGGTTTTGCAGCCAGGCGTTTCATCAGCCTTTTGACTTAATGAGGGAACTTTGGGGGATTCATTCCTAGGCTGAAGGAGAGGACGAACGGCAGCCGGCCCCGAGCCCCTCTCGGGCACTCCTCCTCCTGCTCAAAAGGAGCTGAAAATGGAAAGGAAAATCTCTTTAATCTCACGTACTGTCAACAGGTTTCACCTTTTCAAGACTTTAAATACCCGGTGGTGCGATGATGCTCTGACAGGCTGCGTTTGGAAAACCTCTGCTAGAAAAACACGTAACCCTGGAGCTCGGGAAGAGGGGATGGAATATTGCCGATGCCACGCCACGAAACCAGGCACCCTGTAAAATACTTGGCAGCCCCGGGAAATGACAGTACCAGGATTTTAGGACAGGCTGGACAAAAATAAAACGATCATCCGCCTTGCTGCGACAAAGGGCACAAGAGCTCCGAAATAGCTTTCTGCAGGCAGGAGAGGGAGGAAGGGCAGAGCCTCACTCATCCTCAGGGTCGCTCCTGCTGCAGGGAACACGCTCCCAGATAAAACCAAGGAGAATGGTGGTGGGGGGGAAAGGTGTATTTAAAATTTTATTTTATATTTTTCAAGCTGCTACTTTGGGATGTATTCTGCAAAGAGCAAAATTCTCCAGGAGCGGAGCTGCCGCTGGGATGGTGCACCAAGGGCTTCACCTGCCCGGAGGAGCTGGGACCAGGGCTGAGTGCAGGGATGCTACCAGGATACTGCGGGCTCCTGCTTCCCATCTGGTTTTTAATTTCCCAGCCTCTCTGGTTTGTGTGCTTTTGAGATATATATACATATATTTCTTTTTTGGTCACCTTAATTGATGAAGGCAGGTAATTTTTAATCCCTTGGGGGCAAATCGATGACAGTGGGCTCTTCAGAAGAGTTTTAAATCTGGTTTGAAAAATAGCTTCCATTTTTCCGACCGTACAAAACGGCACTGTGGGTGTGTTACACGAGGGTGGATAAGTCCCACAGATATTATTTGCATTTTTTTAGGAAGTCATTAAACCTGCAGTGGGGGAAAATTTGGCCATGCTCCTAAGAGTGCAGGCAGAAGTGGAGCTTCCACCTGTCCTTACCCAGCCTGGTAAGAAATGCTGGGAACAGAAACCAGATGTGTGACACCAGCAGGAACATGTCGTTTTGGGCTTAAAAAATTAGTAGTGAAACTTTTCTAAGCAAGTCCAGTCTGTGGAGCAAGGACAGACAATAGTATCTCGCTGCTGCTTGGATTTGATCTAGACCAAAGCACAAAATATTTGCCATTGGTAAGCCGTGCCTTCAGTGGGAGCAGCGATTGCTTCACTTCTCACCTGCCTCCGATATTTTGGGGAGTGCTTGCAGGCGGAGAGGCGCAGGCTCGGAGGGACTCGCTCTGCTGCTGCCCTCGCCACCCCGTGAGCGGCTGCTGCTTCCCGTGCGCCGTCCAGAACGCGCTCCCACGCCCGGGCAGCGGCTCCCCGCTGGCTCGGGAAGGACGGCACAGCTGAATTAGACCTCGATCATTTAAAATTTTAAATGATTTTAACAGGAGGAGCTGCCGCGTAAGCTCCTTTTGCGAATTTAGCAAAGCAACAAGACCTTTCTGAAGCAGCCTTTTTGTTCTGGAAATGGCAGAACCCCAACCCACAACAGCACCGAAGCCGAGCCACAGCCTTCCCCAAAATCCGGCTGTGCCGGGGCGAGGGCAGAGGCAGGACTGGCCCTGGAGTCACACGGCTGGCAGCGTTTTTATCCTGGCAGGCAGCTCTCCCTGAGATTTCCCGCCCCCATCTAGCGGGGCAGGCTCCTTCCCCTCTAGCCAGAGCAGCAGAGTCCAGTTAAAAAAAA